AGACGACCCAATTTCTTCTTTAGGAACCTTAACGAAAAATATACGAAAGCTGCGCTTCGACAAAAGTTTCAATATTTTTAAATGTACATATCCTTTTTCATCGCAAATGCTTCTTTCGTATAAAAAGTCTTGATTATATGTCGACTTCACACCGACAAGAACCTCTATTCCTTCGGGAATAAGATGGGTTATTGGCAGTTCAATCTTCTTCACAACGCAGTTTTCCGGTACCCAAATATCAGCGGTGAACCGGAAGTTTTCATTCATCATCTTATTACTGTTTGGCATTCGAGGTTTCGCCCTTTTTAACGCAATTGACGAAGAATAATCCTCAATATTTCGCCGCTTAACATCACCAGATATCGTTGCCCAAAGGATTGCTACATTTTTCTGAGTACGATATTTTATAATGGATCGAATTTCTCCTCTTAAAAGGTAAACATTTTGAATTTTGTTACAAGCCTTCTTTATTAACCGTGATTTTGTAATTAGAAATCTAATCAACGGGAGGAAAGGTCTTATAACGTCTCTTCTTGATACGTTGTCATTTATTTTTCGTAATTCAGTAAATTTCCGGTCGATCCACACCCGAAGACCAAGCAACAAATGGAATTCCTCCAGTTTGTGATAGACGGGACACGTCAACAACTTGAAGAGGGTAACTTTGTTGTGTTAGTTTTGTGACGTCTGACACGAGTGTTTCGTCACTAGTGTCGTAGTATGTACTGTACAATACCATCGGGTATTTGATTGGCTACTTGCGTCATTAGATTCAATAGGCTCGCACTGCGGATATCGAAGAGTTAAAGCACATTTAACGATTGTATTATTATTAATATGTTGGATACTTTTAAAGTTATTTTTTTAAGATTTCTATTATTTTATAAATTTACTTTATGTTTATTCTGTAAATAAAGCTACTGGACGAAAGAATTGCCGAAAAAACGAAAAATAACGACGTAATGAATTTATGGAATGATATTTAAAAATAATTATAATAAAAACCTTTAAAGGGTATATAATAAATTTTAATAAAACGTATAATAAATAACTGACATTAAAAGGTTATCTGTGAGATAATCTGAGTAATATTATCGATGAATTGTATTAAATTTATACGAAAATAATTTAATAATTATGTTATCATTTTGTATGGTTTTGTGTATTTTACAATTAATAAAGCTAATCTTTTAAATGAGCTTTTATGTATATGATGTATTTATTAGTACAAGTACCTTTGTACCGAATATAAAACAAACAGGTATAATAAATTACATTAAATTCTCAGTAAATTTTTATTCCATTTACTCAATCAAGCTTTGTTTCAAATCAATGGCTTTCTTCGTTAATTAGTTCAATTTCTAAAAATGATAAAAAATACTTTTCTTCCTATTAAACCCGTTTCTACCCTCAAAATTAAGCTTTTTGACATTTTATAATAGTTAAAAGTATAAAACTATTAAAAATAAAGTATGATAACAGATGGCGCCAACAAATGTCGCAGGAAAAGTTAAGCAACTCGTTACTTGTTTATTTTCTTTTATAGAAATGAATTCAAAGGTCGGTTAACGTTGATATATGTTGCTTCTTTGTATCATTTGACAAATTCACTTAGTATTAAATACGATGGAGTTTAATCATTTACAAGATATGCCCATTGCGAGAAGCGTAAAAAAGTGCACCTTCTGATTTACCTTCGTCTCTCCCGTTCGCCCATCGGTGGCCAAGCGGTTTTCGGCACCCTAAATACTGGGAGTTCGGTCGTGGGTTCGCGCCTCACTAGTACGAGCTGGACACGCGGAGTTTTCCGGGTTTTCTCCACGTGTGTAATGCCAAAATAGTAGCCACTTTCTCCAAACCGATCACCCGTTGTATATGAACGTAAAGAATTAACCCATTGTTACAAATACGAAATAAAAGCCTAACCTTTGATAAATTGTATTTGGTAATATTGATGAAATTAATATTTCAATATATATATATATATTTTAATAATCTATAGATAGACATTATCACGTTTACCACAAATATTTATCACAAATACAATAAAGTTGATCTGGTATATTATAATTATAATCAATGCATTTTAGATGCAAGAATATTCTGTAAATTAAAAAAATATCAATATTTTAGAACATTTCAATTTAAAAATTTTCATTATTTATATACAATATTTAGTGTATAAAAATATGTACATTTTATTTCGAAATTACATAAGATATAATTTCAATGAAATATAGTTACAATTTATAGCGAGTAGCAATTTTATATTGAAAGTTCATTTGAAAAATCTTCTGTAATTGTATAACATTATTAATATTTAGTGTATAAAAATATGTACATTTTCTTTCGAAATTACATAAGATATAATTTCAATGAAATATAGTTACAATTTACAGCGAGTAGCAATTTTATATTGCAAGAGAAAGTTCATTTGAAAAATCTTTTGTAATTCTATAACATTATTATTATTAATGGTATAAGCTTTACAATAGAATTTCGGAATTAATTTTATAAATGTAATAAAAGTCATTAAATTATACAGTGGTACCTTTGTATATGTCTGCTTTAGAATACGTCCAATTCGGAATACGTCCTGTTTGGACGAAACAAATTTTGCTCGGTATACGACATAATTCAATTATACTCGCCATCAATGAACAAGTAGCACTATGGTGTACTAGACCAGACTAGACGTTCGCGGTGCAACGGTTTATAACTTTGTTAAATTTCCTCTGATTTTAATTCGTAAGTAAAATTTTATTATTTTTTATTAATCATGAATTGCAAAAAGGCAAATGAAAAGCAACAGAAATCTAAAAGAATGACTAGAATCACAATGGAACTGATAAAAGAGATTGTTGAGAAATATGAAGGTGGCATGCATGTTCAAGATTTTAACTGTTGCATATCATATCCATAACGTTAGCAGATTTAATATTTTATTTTTAGCGATATCGACAATCGCTAAAAATAAAATATTAAATCTGCTAACGTTGCGAAAGAGGTTAAATCAATTTCTAAACAGAGATCGAAGACATTAGATCATGTCGAGAAATTGCTTTTGCTTTGGATAACTGAAAAACAGTGTGCTG